CAGAAATTTTTTTTGTATTGTATAATTATAAATGTATGTATAAGAATGAAGATATATGTATTTGCATGTGTATATACAATTTTCTCTCGCTTTATATAAACAGAAACACAATTTATACATTTCGTTTGTGTTGAAATGAGCGAGAGATGTGAGATGGCGAGCGAGATTTGAGAGAGGGGAGAGAGAGGACCGAAAATATATGTATTATATACAATTTTCTCTCACTTTATACCTACAAACACATTTTATACATTTGTGTTTGTATAAAAGCAAGAGAGGCGAGCAAGAATTTGAGAGAGAGAGACGACTGGCAAACAATTTGCTACAGAGCACAATTAAATCAAAGTATGATTTTAGCATTTAATTTGATTTATTAGATTGCCCCTATAGCGTATATATGGATAGGTGAGCATATAAACGAGATAAGATTAGGAATGAAATTATTTGAGATAAGGCAAAGTGACTCTCGTGAATGTTAAGATGTGGGATCCAAGTGAGACTATTTTGGACACGTGTGAATAAGAGATTTACAAAATCCCCATTTTTGGTGTGACAGAATGACCGCATTGGTAGAGTTGAGGAGTATTGGAGTGGGGTGATTAAATAAGAGATGAAGCAACTTTAGGTTACTAAGGTCATTCCTTGACTAGAGATTGTAGAGGTCGAGGATTATATTAGATAATTAGACGTAACTTATTCTCTTACTTAGCGTATCACACTTTGTTTGGATAGTTGTTAGGTACAGTTTATAATTGTTTACTCCATCCGTTTAAAAAAGAATGAAATTATTTTATTTTTAGTCGATTTAAAAGAGAATTACTCTTTTTTTTTTTTGACAACGCTTTAACTTTAACTTTTTACGTGACATGTTTAAAACCATAAAATTAAAAATTATTTTAATACATTTAACATAACTTTAATTTAAATCACAAAATTAAAAACTTTTTTTTTTTTAAAACTCGATTTTAAGTCAAACGGAAAGTATGATGGAGGGAAAAAAAGAACACCCACTACTTCACAAATTTGGGAAACAGACAAAAAAATGAAGCATTTGGATAATAATTTTGTCGTTTTCCTTACCGTCGTTTTGTGTCCAAAAGCCGCCAAAGCCCACCGGGTTAACGTCGCCCCAAATGCGCCACGTGTCTTCCTAAAATGATTCCTCCGCGTGGTGACAACTAACTTACTACACTTTATTATTATTATTAGTATTATTATTCATGCTCGATACTTGATTTAAATTTATATTGTATAAAATTTATTTTATAGAGAAATATTTTTTAATTTTAAAAAGTTCATACATAGTCGAATCTATAATCTCCTTGATGTATCATATTTATATCATAATTTGATCAATTTTAATTTATTATGGTATAAGATTTATTTAAGAAAAAAAGTGTTTTCTAATGTATATCTTATTTAGATGGTTGTTGTCAATTGTATGGTTAGTTTAAATATAATATTTATCTCAATTTTTACTTAATTTCTATGGTATTAAATTATTTAAATTCATCGTTAGATAACAATAAAAAAATTCATTTTATGTAATGATTAATTTTGTGTGATTGCTTAATTATGTATCTTAATATTTTCTTCTTATTTTGTTTTTATTTATTATTTAATAATCATATATCATCTTATTATGTTATAATAGACAATCCATATCTCTTGAAAACCGTATAAATTGAAAGCTCTCTTTGTATTCGACTTTTTATATCATCATTTAAAATATAAATGTATGACATTATATAATGACGAAAAATAATTCCAATCTATCTAAACGCTATATTACAATATATTAATACATATGAAATAATACGCAAAAACAATATAAAAAAATTAAAAGTATTTTATATCCATTTTGAGATTCTTGCTAATTTAAGTTCTAATCGTATAAGATTTATTTTATTTTTTTTTAAAAAAAGAGTTTTTTTTTTTCATTAATTGCCTCAGCCATTTGGAACATACTTAATTCTACACTATCGAACCCACTCCATAATGTAGCGCGTCTTCCTCACGTACCAAAATGGAATAAGTAAATTAAGTACTTATTATGTTTAAGAATAATATTTTTGTAAAATAAGTTATTTTAAAACTTTAAAACTAAAGTTTTAAATTGGATAGTCCTCTAGAGAAGATATATTTTATTATTTTATTATTTAATTATATTCTCAGCTTGATTATATAGAAATTATTTTTTACATGAGTCATAATGAGATCTAATTTTAGAAATTCTACTTAATTTGACATTTCATTAAAGCGCATAATTATTTTATTTAAAAATTAAACTATCAAAGAAAAAAAATGCATACTTCATTATTTAAATATTTTTTTATTATTTAAATATATTCTGATGATTATCTCAAGTTCTTCGCTTTCTCTCAAAATTTGGAAGGACATAAATTTTTAAAATATTTTATTTTAATTTAATTATCTCTCGTAGATTTAGAATGTAAATTTATATTAAAAAAATATTTTATTTTTCTTTTAAATCATCTCCCGTAAATTTAGAACAATAAATTTGTAGAAAATTTTTTCTATAGGGATTCAAACTTGAGCACTATATAAATTTTGAACACATATTTACCATTACGTTATAAATCTCCACCTATTTTTAAAGATATTCAAAATACTATATATATCAATATAAACTAAAACTCCAATAATCAACTAAACACACTCACATATAACTCTTCCCCACAAATGGATGTGAAAAGTCATTTTGACTACCTCAATCTCAATGAAGTTCAAGAAATAACTTTTCTCAAACAATTAAATTTTATTCGTTAAATTATCCTGATTATATTACTTTTTCCGTTTCACAAAAAATGACATAGTTTGATTTAACACAGAGTTTAAAAGTATAAAGAAGATTTTTAAATCTTGTGGTCCTAAATTAAAATTATGTCAAATGTACAAAATTATCTTTTGATCTTGTGACCTTAAAATACCACGTGGAAAGTTGTTATCAAAAAAAGAAAGAGATCATTCTTTTTGAAACATACTAATAAGTAAAGGAGGTTATTCTTTTTGAAACAGCGAGAGTATTAATTATTATTATTGTTGTTGGTGAGGTAAAAGTTTAGTAGTGAAACTAAAGTTATTAATAAGGAGTTTAAATTTTTTAAACATTAAATCTATAGACAAATAAAAAAAAATATTTATTATATAAGTAAAAATATAATATAACTAATATTAATATTTTTTATCAAAGGGTTCGAATAGGGAGCTATTTTACTAGAGTTACAGCGGAGTGTACAGAGTTGATGATGACAGCCAAAGTAAATTAATTTTTGTTTTATTCAAGTGGGACCCAATCAAGAAGAAGAAGAACCATTGAATGATGATAAAGTACTAAAGACAAAATTTATAAAAAAAATTTTTACTATATTAAAATAGTTTGAATATTGATGTTGGTGATGCCATTGATGGAGGTTTTAACGAAACTAAGCTATTATATAAAGTCATTTATCAAAATAATATGTTTTTTTAAAATTTTACAAAACTAGTATAAACGTATTTCACAGTAATGTTTTAGGATATATTTCGTTTTTTAAAAGTTGATGGCGTCAGATTGATATACGTTACTCACAATAACGTTTTAGGAGTAAAACGTTATTGAAAATAACGTTTTAAAAGTAAAACGTTACTTACAGTAACGTATATCAACCTAATGCAGTTAGTTTTTAAAAAATAAAATATACCCTAAAACGTTACCATGAAATACATTTATACTAGTTTTGTAAAATTTTAGAAAAATATATTACTTTGGTAAATTGTTTTATATAATGACTTAGTTTGGTTAAAAATTCCCATTAATGTGTTCACTTAATTTTTTTAATATTAATTTTTATTATAATTCAGATTTTTTCTATAATATACTCCCTTAAATTCAATTTCTTTCCTTATTTTTTCAATGACAAGTATTTTTTTAATTGCAATAAAAAAATTATTACAAAACTTCTCATATCCTTTTCGTAGTTTGATTTGTTTTTAGGTTATCGTTGATCTGTTTTGCGAGATCATTTTATCACGAGGCAAAAGCAATCTTAAAGGCTACGGTAATTGTTGATTGATGTAGTTTTATCGTCTATTTTGATACAAATAAGATACAGAACAATAGCACCTAAGCTTCCGATCTAGGGCTCAAAAAATGACCAAAAATTGAATTTAAATTTTAAGAATAAAATCATCTCTAGTAAAAAGGACTTACATTTAATTTTTAATTTTTCAATAACATTAATAATAGTACTATATTTAATATAGTATACAAATGAGGTTCGTGAAGAGAAATCTTTAAAGTATGATAATATTTTACATTATATTTTATCTTTTTAAATATAGAATATGAAGTTATTCTTAATTCTATTTTTTTCAAATATAAAATATTTCACTTAATAAAGATTTAACATTTCAACTTTATATATGTTAATATTATATGTTTGTTAAAAAAATAAGATTCCTGAAGAATAAAAAGGAAGTTGAAAAGCCCCAAAGAAGTTTGTTTTAATTTTTTTTTTTAAAATTCAGTTTGGTTTAAATTAAATGCAGATAGAGAACAAAAGTAAATTGTTGTCAAAAGTTTGAAGTCCCAAAGTAGAAAAAGTAAAATTAAATTAAAGTAGAAAAAAAAATTAATTGTTAATTAATCATCTAACTGTACAGTGTGTACATCATAGCCAGCAAGAAGATGCACAGAGATTCTTATGCCATTTCTTACAAGGCAAAAAAAAAAAAAGATTTCTTTTTAGAGAGAGAAAAGAGAAGAGAGAGAGAGAGTTTCAAGGAAGGAGACATGCTTGATTTCATACCAACAAGCAACACTTGTGTTTATTTCTTTTCTTAACTTTAGTGGATTCCACAGGTCCTTCTCTAAATCCATTCACTTTTTTTTTTCTTTCATTTTTTTTTTTTATGTTTTTTCATGTTTTAAGTATTGGATTTATTTATGTGTTTTTGCCCAATAGTTTTTTTCTTCTTCTTTTTTTTGTTTGGTTGTTTTATTTTGGTTTTGATTTCTAAATTTCTCTTTTTTGGGTATTGTGTATTGGTTAAGATAAAGAATGTTCTACATAGTGAAAATCTTGAAATGCATGTGGACTTTAAAGTCAAAGATGTGTTTTTAAGATGGTTTTGTATGTGAATAAGAGGAATAATGAGTAAAGTTGCAATCTTTATTGGTTTTCTTCTTGTAATAGTTTCATTTTGCTATTGATCTCTAAATTTCCCTTTTTGATGTGTATGTACTGGTTTGGTTAGATAAAGAATGTTCTACATAGTGAAAATCTTGAAATGCATGTGGAATTTAAAGTCAAAGATGTGTTTTTAAGATAAATTTTGTATGTGAATAAGCGGAATAATGAGTAAAGTTGCAATCTTTATTGGTTTTCTTCTTGTAATAGTTTCATTTTACTATTGATCTCTAAATTTCCCTTTTTGGATGTTGTGTATGTACTGGTTTGGTTAGATAAAGAATGTTCTACATAGTGAAAATCTTGAATGCATGTGGACTTTTAAAGTCAAAGATGTGTTTTTAAGATGGTTTTGTATATTGATAAAGTGGAATAGTGAGTAAAGTTGTAACCTTTATTGGTTTTCTTCTTCTAATAGTTACATTTTGCTATTGATCTCTAAATTTCCTTTTTTGGGTGTTGTGTGTATACTGGTTTGGTTGCATAAAGAATGTTCTACATAGCGAAAATCTTGAATGCATGTGGACTTTAAAGTCAAATATGTGTTTTTTAGATGGTTTTGCATATGAATAAGGGGAATAATGAGTAAAGTTGCAATCTTTATTGGTTTTCTTCTTTTAATAGTTTCGTTTTAGTATTGATCTCTAAATTTCCTTTTTGGGTATATTTACTGTTTTGGTTAGATAAAGAATGTTCTACATACAGTGAAATTCTTGAATGCATGTGGACTTTTAAGTCAAAGATATGTCTATTTAAAATGTTTTTGCATATTGATTTGGGAAAAATGAGTGAAGTTGCAATCTTTATTGCTTTTCTGTATATTTTCTGTTTATGGGTTGTGATAGGAAACTGGGTTTTTTTATTGTTATATCTATGGATATTCTGTTGGTGATAGTAACATTTGCAGAGTGGGGTTCTTGATGTAATAAAGATCAGCATAATTGGTTGATTCTTTCTTGATCTTTTGTTCTATATATTTAGCATTATTGGTAAATTTGTTGCGATGTGACTTGAAGGTCACGGTTTTGAGCTGTGAAAACAACCTCTGTAGAACTGCATGTAAGGCTGTGTCCAATATGCTCTTATGTTCTGGTCCTTCCCGGACCCTACATATAGCAGGAGCTTAGTGCACTGGGTGGATTTTTTATGTGCATGCCCAATAGTTTTCTTCTTAAAGTTTCATTTTGCCTCTAAATTTCCCTTTTGGGGTATAAGAATATTCTACAGAGTGAGTCTTGAGTGCATGTGGGGTTTAAAGTAAAAAAATATGTCTTTTTAAGATGGTTATGCATATTTATAAGGGGAATAATGAGTAAAGTTCATATCTTTATGGGTTTTCTGCATATTTTTTGTTTATGGGTTGTCATAGGAGAATGTGTTTTTTCTTCTAATATCCATGGAAGTTCTTTTGATGATAGTAATATTTGGAGAGTGGTGTTTTTGATGTAATAAACATTTAAATATTTGGTTGAATGTTTCTTGATCTTGTGTTCTAGGTTCTGATCTAGTGTTTTTCGCCTTATCTTTTTGAAGAGTTTGCTGGCTATGTTGCTCGGACTCTTCAAAATATAGACGGGGTGCATGTGGGATACTCCTAAAATAGTGTATTTTTGGAGAATCCGAGCCACATGGTTTTCTCGTGATATATGACTTGGTATGTTGATCAAGTAATCTTTGGGATATAAGATTCTCATGATGTTAGAGCAAGATGCATGTGGTTTTTTGTTTTAATTTTCCCATTGGTAATTTTTTTTTTGTTCATTTCATTTTAGGTGTTCATTTTGCTATGTCTGATCAAATCCTTTCTACTATGGTTTTTTATAGTCATATATATGAGTCGAGTATATCGGGTAGGTTAATGGTCTTGTATTATGTATTGATGAACTGCTAGTTACTAGTTACTGCATGTAAACATCAGTCACAGAATGCTTACCCACAATTCTGCTTCGGAAACTTCTCTTTTGAGGCAAGGTCTATCGAGAACAGCCTCTCTATCCCACAAAGGTAGGGGTAATGTGTGCATACATCGTACTCTTCCCAAATTCCACTAGTGGAACTACATTGGGTATGTTGTTGTTGTTGTTACCGCATAAGCCTGTCTGTCCTTGTGTATTTTATCACCTTATGGGAGTTCGTGTTGCAGGTTTGATGACTAAGATTTTGTTGATGTTGTTTCATTTTTCATATATGCTATGTGATTCTTCCTCTAGTGGTTGTTATATTTCTTTATTTCTGTATGTTCTTTGATATAAATTACCGAGCCGGGGATCTTTCGAAGACAACCTTCCTATCTCCGTTAGGTAGGGGTAAGGTCTGTGTACAACACTCTATCCCTCCCTAGACCCCACCTTGTCGGACTACGTTGGGTATGTTGTTGTTTGCTTTGAATAGCTAATCATGGTGAGTTCCAATGAACAAGAAACTTCACATTATAATCGGAAAATTGGTCTCAGAAGTGGAATTTCCATCTCCTTGCTGCCAGGAGATATGAAGTCTTTGGATCCTGACTTACAAGGCGAGACATTGCGGTTGACACATACAACTCTTAACTCTCAAGACGAAATGACTGCCTCAGGGAAAACAAATTCTCAAGATCAATGTGCTTCCTCAGAATATGGTACAGATACTTTATAGTTTTCTTCTGTCCATTCGGCTAGTTTTTTTTTTCCCGATACATAAATAGATTATCTATCTCAACAAGCTTTAGTTTTTTTACTTGATGAAGTTCTTTTGCTGATAATGATTGATCATCTTACATCTTACTTATGATTTTCCAGCTCATGATGAAAGATATGGAAGAGATATGCAGGTTCAAATAAAGCCTGCTCTTTTTTCTTTGCAAAATGAAGTGGCCAATTCAACTGTATGTTGTCTCCTTTTTAGAGATTTTTGCCTTAGCTTTTGGCGTAATCTTATTTATTGTTTTCTCACGTTGCAGGGTTTATCTGCTTTTGGCTACTCTGATCCCTATATCAGTGGCTTATATACTGCTTATGGACCTCAGCCTTATGTGAGTAATCTGCTTTGGTTTTTGTCTCTTGTATGTACTCCATTCGTCCTAAAATAAGTGTCACTTTAGCTCATTTCATGTCTGTTAAGAAAAATAATGGGTAGTTTGCTAAAGTGACACTTACTTTGGGACGGAGAGAATACTTGATTGCAAACAATGAGCAGAATTCTGTCATTCTAGTTGTAGCTGCTGTAAGTTTGCAAAGGAGATGTATAATGGTATCACATACCGACTCCTAATTATCTCGTAAATGTTCTAAGTTTGATATTTGGTCAATGCAGCCTCAAATGATGGGCATAGCACCTACCCGTGTCCCACTCCCCGTTGATATGGCAGAGGATGGACCAATCTATGTTAATGCAAAACAGTACCATGGGATCCTAAGGCGGAGACAGATACGTGCAAAGCTTGAGGCTCAGAACAAACTTGTCAAAAATAGAAAGGTAATTTGGGTACTTATTGCTCTTCTGCACCTTTATTGTATTTAGGAATAATCGATACATGATCAGGCATTATTCCGTTAAGTGCTCAGTGTTACTGTATAAGTCATGATTCCCTAAGTCTAGTTACTGTGGTTCTTCGTTAATGTTGTACTACATTTGTCATCGTTGTCTTGACTAATGAAACTTGTCGTATTCCTGCTTCATTCTTTAGAGAATAGCATCTACTCTAGTATTCTGGTATGAAAATTTTCATCGTAATGATCAATATGGCAGAAGAAACATGGAAGTAGGTTGGTTATAGAGATCTAGTGGCTTTGCATTTCCGAGTTTTGGGGCTAACATTATGTGCTATTCGAGCTGGTCTGTAACGCCAGTAATAGGACCATGTGCACAGAAGCAAATCAATTAGGAGGACTACTAATAGAAAGTCTAGGGTTGTGTACTTACACTTTTATCATTCTTCAAGATGAATTTTGAGCTTATTCGTCTGGTCAACTTTTTGCGTGCAGCCATATCTTCATGAGTCACGACATCTTCATGCAGTGAACAGAGTTAGAGGGTCGGGTGGACGTTTCCTCAGCTCAAAGAAAGTTCATCAATCTGATCCAAATAGTTATCCTACTAACTCAACTTCTTCTCTAGACTCAGTTGAGCATGAAGGTTCAACTTCTGCTTTCTCAAGTGTCCGTCAAGATGTCGTCCACAATGGCATCAACTTCCAGCAGCAGCAGCCTGATCACATGGCCTTCAGTGTATCCTCTCATATGGTTATTACCATGCAAGGCAATGGGACTCAGCAACACGCTCCAGTTGTCCGGTGATTACAAGTTCTTAACTGTCTTACGACAGTCACCGGCAGGCAATTCATCCTTGGCTTTTACTCTTTTCCCATTATGTCTCTGATTTTTGCAAGTGCCAACTTGTTTCTACTGTTATAATGGTGAATTTGGTCTCCTAGATTTATCAAACCTAGATTGAAGAAAAGAACGTCTTTCGTTCTGTATTAGTTGTTATCTGTTCTGTTGCATGTCTGCACCTAACATGGAATGGTTGTGCAGTGAAGTTGTTAATGATAAACTGAAAAGAAAATGGAACTGGTTTTATGTTGAATGATTCAAGAGGTTCATGTAATGCTAATATGTTTAGTGGTCTTGAATTGAATACATCTGTTGTTGTGTTTTCGAACTAGTTAAAGAGCACATGAACGATTTCCATGGACGCCTTTTGACTTCTTTCGTGTGTTTATATCATCATGTTTTCTAACACCTGTAATGAAAATTTTGACTCCGAGACTGAATGTGACAAGCATATAAGAGAACAGCAATGTGATAAAGGAGACCTTAGCATAGTTGCTTAAAATGTAGTACAACAAGAAAAATAAGATTGTGAGATTTCACTTCACAAGCAAAACTGCTTCTGTCAATCAATACTGAGATGATAATTCAGTTACTGATACAAGTTCATAAGTTCATCCTTGAATTTCGCCTTTAGGGGTTCGCGCTTCAGTTTGAGAGCTGGAGTGACTAATCCGGACTCAGGCGTCCATGGCTCGGGTATCAACTTGATCTTTGCAGGAATCTCAAACTTGTCCAATCTTGCAGCTTTGCCTACCTGCATTTCAGCATAACACTCTTCAATTATGTCTCCTAGGATGTCCTCTCTTACGATAGTTTTGAGTTATCTAGATTGACCTAGCTAGCACCGAGCTGTCATAGGCCAATATAATCTCAGAAGTGGGGTCGGAGAGAGATAGAGGGGAGGATGTACGCAGACCTTACCTATACCTTTGTGGGGATAGAAAGAATGTTTCTGTAGACCCTTGTAACTGATAGGCGGATGTACAAAATAAGTGTAAACAAATACTAATACACATCGGGAAAAAGGGGACTACGTGATACCTAAATCATACTACTAGAAGTACAACAACACTCGACTACCAATAGCTACCAACCTCATATAACGTCCTATCTAAGGTCATTTCCTGCTCAATAGGGGTCGTGATTGATGATAATTCGGATGAAAAGGAGACGAACCTTTGAGAGTGATTGCTGGACCTCATTGACTGCTTCAACTTTGTTGCACAGATCAGAAAAAGCTCTATGCTCGATGCCATTTTCTTGTGCCCATTTCTCAAGCACCTTTTGTGAAGGAACAACTAGTGCAACACAGTAACTGTGGAAGGGGTCTGCATAGGCCATGATGTTATCCACATAATTGCTTGAGGAAAGTGCAGCCTCAACCTGCAACGAGCATCAACTTGTCATTATAATTGCCATAAATCAAAACTCCGAGTAAAGAAAATTCTTGAATCTTGTGATCTTAAAATGAAGATACGTAGAATGCACCTTTCCGAGTGAGATATACTCCCCGTGCTGAAGTTTAACAATATCTTTCTTTCTATCAATGATTTCGAGGCATCCATCAGGATGAAACCTTCCAATATCACCAGTGTAGAACCAGCGCATCCCTCTCTCATCAACCTGCATTTAAGATATAAACAACATGAACAGGCTCGCGATATGACCAAATTCAGTCCATTTACAAGCAGTAGCTCAGAAGTACCTTGTATTCCTCATTAGTTTTATCACCATTGTTGAAGTAACCAGCAGTAACACTGTTCCCACCAACAACTACTTCTCCCCGAGGCATCGGCTTATCAGCAACTGTGTAACCTCCTTCTTCCCAAGAAATAAGCTGTATTGTTCAACACATTACATATTAATAACCAAACACCAGCACTGTCATAAATAAGCAGAAAATTCCTAAACTTATCGAGTTAATAAAGTTTGAAAGGAAGGAACAAAGGGCAACGATTTCTTTAGTTTCTGGACTAACTAGCTTTTTTCTATTTGTCTATACCTTTATATAGCAACAAGGAACAGGTGGACCAACGCGACCAACAGAAGGATCATCTGACTCGGAAAAGGCTGCTCCTGCAGATGTCTCTGTCAAGCCATATCCTTGACCAATAGGCGCTCTGCAGCAACAACAACAACTAAGCCTCAGTTCCAAACAAGTTGATTATAGAACTCGTAACAATAAACAGTCCATCCAGAGTGAAGTGTCGAAAAAAGTGTAGAGCATATTCGGAACAGTTTTCTGATATTTACCCCAAACGAATGTTGATAAATCTTTGTGTATCTCGTGATAGTGGAGCACCACCACAAAGCATGAAACGTATATCTCCTACGAGTATTGATGGTATCTTGTTAAATATCATCACCTCCCATAGTATTTTCTCTAGACCCCAATGCTCCAAACCAGCTACCTTCTATAGCAGTCAATCGACGTTTAAAGGCAATATCAAAAAGTTTCTTTGCAGATCCTCCCCTCTCCTCCACCTAGATTAAGAAAAACAGAATCAAGTGATCAGTACTTCATTTGAGGCAGGCCTTATAATCATCCCAACCTAAATATGCACTTAAAGCTCAGAAGGTCCAGTTTAAACCTTCTTTATAACGCCGTCCTTAACACGATCTAGAATGGCTGGAACTGCTGCCATTAAAGTAGGCTTTAAAGCTGAGGCATCTCCTTTAGTCCCTTTCATGATTTTATTAGATGTATCTGTCAATGTCAGAGCCGAGCCATAACCGATTGAAGCACCAGCAGTCAACATAACAGTCTGCAAAACCAGAATCACTCAGAACTACTTCATTGCTAGATGAAGAAGACAAATAGTCTGTTTGGTCGAACTTCTAAAATCAACTTTACTTTGAAAAGTGCTGTTTGAGCAGCAATTAGTGTGTGGACAAGTTTTATAAAAGTGCTTCGAATTCACTAGGAGCACTAATTTTCTCCGAAAAACTTGGCCAAGCAGATTATAACAGAAACAAACGATGTATGAACTCTGAAGATTACCTCAGCCGCTAACTCAAAAACATGAGCCAAAGGTAGATACCCCAAATAGACATCGTTGCTGCCAAGTTTTGGAATGACAGTCGTAACTGCAGCAGCCGTGGCTACAATGTTTCCATGAGTTATCATGACACCCTAAAACATAACAATAGAGCTCAATCGAGAATCATTCAGCTCTAAGGTAAATATCATATCAGAAAGGAAAATTAAAAGCAAGCTGCATTTTACCTTAGGCATGCCTGTGCTACCACTTGTATACATGATCACCGCGATATCTTTCTTTATAGGCAGTATTGGTTGAATAGGATTACTCTTACCAAGTTTTTCAACTTCGGAGAAAGATGTAACCCTCCAGCTATCAATATCCGTAGAAGTGCTTGAATCTATTGAAGTCTCATCATCTTCAAAATATATGACATTCGAGATGGTTTTCAGGTTAGAACCGATTGCAGCCAATTTTTTAAGTTGCTTGGCGTCACAAATCAATGTGGATGCTTGAGTCTGTGAATGAACACAAGTGAATTCAATTCATTGCATATCAACTAGCACCTCGCGTAATCTAGAAGAAAACATATTTAAATCTCCCACCTCGTTTAACGAGTGTATAAGGGCATCATCTCCCAAAGAAGCATAAATAGTAACGACAGTTATATTCTGGCGGAAGCATCCCTGAGAACAATAATTTCAACTATAAAATGTTGTATTCCTGTAGTAATCAGATAACAAACAAATACAGAACTACTCCCTCCGTTTTAATTTGCTGTCTGGTTTTGACTTTACACGGAGTTTAGGAAAGTGAAGAACATGTCACATGGAAAGTTTAGAATTGAAAAGTTGCCAAAAGAGGTTAGAGACTGAAAGTAAAGAAAGCAAATTGAAACGGAGGGAGTAAAGAACTCTCGAATACCTGAAATGCAATGATCCACTCTGCACGAGTTTCAGAGAATATAGCAGCGCGAGTCTCCACATCATGACCTAAATTAACAAGTCCAGATGCAAAGTTGCAAGCCCGATCAAACGTTTGCCCGTAACTCTCCCAGTGATACTCACTCAAGTGAAGTTTCTCAAACTTCCTTCCATCCTTTGCTGTTACAAAGTCCCTACTAACTAGTTTTCTTGTTCCAAGACAACGTTTACTCGAATGTTTCCTACAAGACCTTTCGAATAAAGCTGCCATAGTCGTAGCCCCTTCCCATGGAACTTCAATCAACTTGGCTGACTTAGCATTCCGCATTGTAAGACCTGCCTCACCACCAGCTTTAACCGAAACTCCTCTCTGTTTCGCCTTTTTCTTCCTCATAAGCACAACGGAGAGGAATAAAGGTACTATAATCGCAACTACAACTGCAGCAACAACCCCAAATGATTCCTGGTCTTTGAAGAAGGAGACATAACAACTACTGTCCATTCTCTCAACGACATTCGTATTCGGATCACTTCCTTCAGAACCTTCCATTTTATATGATGTATGGATGGTTCTATGCTCACACAAAACTCTTCAAAAGAACAAAGAGATACCTAAGACATAAAACATAATTCAGTACCATAGACAGGGCGGAGCTACCTTGTACGAAGGAGGGGTTCATCCAAACCCCCTTCAGCGGAAAATTATATTATATGTGCATGGTTAAAATAAGTTTATAGGTATACCTAGTAGATGTTGAACCCCTTTCGGCTATGTATTTCTACAGATTTTGAACCTTCTTATTGAAAATCCTAGCTCCGCCTCTGACCATATATATGCAAGGTCAAATTTTTTCATATGTAAATATAGTAAATGTTGAACCCCGTTAGTGAAAATCTAGCCTCTACCACCGGATGGAACGTAAAAAGAATAAAAGAGAATCAAACTTTAATATGAATATTATGTAATTTAAAACTCAAGCAAAATTTGAAACCGGAGTTCTCCCAAACAATGGCAGATCCAGAGTAGTGTGTGCGGGTTCACGAGAACCGAATAGCTTTTTTCTCGATATATATATTAAAATATTTGACCATAAACCCAATTATTATCGTATACTATTAACTTGAAGATATTGCAAAAACCCATAAAACTTCAAATTTTGGATCCGTCTTTGCTCCCAAACCTCTTCATTAATCATTTTCCTCGAAATTTTTACTATTTCGAAAATCACCTAATTCCCTTAAAACTATAACATATGCTTGATATAAAGAAATCGCTAGGTGATTTCTTACTATCTGTCTAAACCTTATCGAACATAGTAATCGAAACATATCTTAAGTGCCCCGCAAAATAGTCATGACACAAAAACAAATCGAACACTACCAAACAAAACATACTCAATGTAACCCGATAAAGGAAAGTGTAGGGA